GCCGGTCGAAGAACCGGTGAAAACAGCTCAAGCCAAGGAAACAGCACAAACTCAACTTCAAAGTAGGGGCAATCTTGTCGCACTGTTCAGGGGAGTCTCAACAACTATACCAAAGTACGGTTTTCTGAAAATTGTCGGCCTTTGTTTTCACTGTGATGGTTGCCAGGCAGTGAAAATGCCTGGATGTTCTCCCGAAAATATCTACCCAAAATTCATTCGTCTCTTAACATTGACATTTCCGCCTCAAATTTCACTTTTAAAGTTTCGTGCACAAGACTCCACGAAACAATACTGGCCGAAATGATCGAACCGCCTAAGTAAGTAAGTAAGTAAGTAAGTAAGTAAGTACGTACAACAAAGCCGCACTCAGGGTACTAGGACTCCCTAGTACAGTATAAACAATATGAACGGTGATCACCCTCCCTAATGCTTCATATACATGATCTGTCGGTATTTAAGAAATCAACATTTTCAGCAACATCCGCGTGATTGGTCGCTTAAAGGAATTTCCATGGCAGCCAGTATCCATAACTGTTCTTAATTCTCGGATAACTGTACCGAACATTTTTCAATTCAGGGTGGGTTAGAGCTAGCTTTTAGGCGGATCTAGCTTCAGTTTCAAATAAAACACTCTTATGTGTTGATGGATTTTTCGTCATATAAATCAGAACAGTTTAGGTCTAATAAACCTAGAGAAGATGAATAGCCTCAAGAACCGATCGCAAAACGCGAAGTCAGTGTCTCATAGGGTTGCGCATTATTCAGAAACTGGAAAGGGACAGTAGTTTGCATGGCGACTAAATAATTTTGAAAAGTGTGAATGGAAATTACCTTCACGCATATGGGAATACAAATTTCAAATGACAAGCTTTAATCGGACTTGCCTCACGCGATTAGAACTCTGTATAGGTAACATAGATTTGACATTGTCCCCAACCGAAGCCACAGTGTATTTGTAGTTACAGACTACAAGATCAACTCGTTTGACAGAATCACCCCATGTGGGTCAGTGGCAGCCCGTCATTACGCTGCATAGCACTCATGTTTAATACATAGAGTAGTAGTTAGTTCAATACTTTAGCAGGAACATTGCCGCCCAAGGGCAGTTCCCGCAGTCACATTAAGCAAAACTGAGAAACCCTTCTGGAACTATCGCGGCGCCATCCAAAGAGACGGAACTCGAAACTACTTTCTTGTATGTCACGTGGCTACAAAATTACCATAACGCGTTTACGTCACCCATCGCATAGGTTGTATCGTATGAACCATGCGATATGAAACATTACGCAATCACTGATTTCTTTGGTTTGAAATAAACTGAAACATTGGACATAACCACTATATTAAAGGGCGGTAGTCGTCGCGCCACGCATGTGCAAAATATATGGGTCTCATATACACAAGGATGGTGACTTTGACTGCTGCGCAGATCAACGAGTGCAAATTGTGACGTTACCAAGCTTTAAATTAGGAATTTTCAGGCGATAGGAAGGTATCCAAGAAGTCACCAGCGGTAATTAGTGCAAGTCGCGCCCAGGTCAAACCTCGATATACGATACACGATATACGATATACATGTGAATACGAAGTCGCTGTCACGACGCGTCATGTTCGACAGGGGTCCCATGTGACGTAGACAACAAAATGCTTTGTTGTTTACACGAAAATCGCCCTTTCAGAAACGAACATGCCCATAGCCGATGACACCATATCCGGTCAAATTAGTCGATTTCGCTGTTTTCTCTCACTTCCTCTTAAACTAGTCGGTGGGAAATGGCGTCTGAAGAGACAACCCCGTTCTATTCTTTTTAAGAAAACGCTTACAAATGCGGAAATTTCGACGGAAACAATTTTCTACCGTCCGGTTGCCCCTGGCGACGAAATGACTGATCCGCATCTTGTCATATTAATTTAAGGAGCACCTAGATCAGCCATTGACTGCCTGCATGTCTGCTTGTCCACTGTACGCTCGACCGGTTGCTAAATTAATGTTGTTGTTTATTTTTATTGGTATTAGACCACGTTACGGTTCAGTAGATCCAGTTCTATATCCACAGATAAATCACTTTTGATTGATCGATAATATATGTACATGTACTTGACATCTGTGGTAGATCGTATTTGAAGCGAGAAACTAACTGAAGGCAAATACTGACAATCAATGCGGAAAGGAAAATAACACAAATTTCTTTCTGGTCCTGAGATTTGTTTTGTTTTGTTTTATTTTTTCTTTCGCTTCTTTATTCATTTTCGCAATAGTTTGGTAGAAACCAGAAAAGATTACGGCTAGGACAGCACATGTGCCACTAGAAGAGAGCGACCCCTTTACAACTTATGTTCTTGAAATTAATCCGCAGTAATCTTATCCCGATATAATCCACAATCATTATTCGATATAGAAACTGAGTAGAATGCCGGCTTCAGATTGATTCCCATGAAAAAAAAGCCATTATTTGAAATGTACTATGATCATCCCTGCATAAAGAGAGTCAAACCACGATGAGAGAAGGATTCTATCGACAGTGAAGATTATATTTATGGTGACAGGTGAACCGACCCGCCAGCCTCAAATTGGCATGAACTCAGAACAAATATCCATAGCCGTTCCATCACGGGATGGAAAATATAGAGGGCCTGTGGCATATCATCATCATTATTATTCATTGGTTTGTTTTTAAAATATACGCCGCGCGAAGTCGCTTTATATAAAGAGGACCATTTTTACTGAGGGATGGGGCATTAGTAACAAACATTCATAGACAAGAACATTTATACGAGACTTGATCTACAGTAATCACAAATATATTACACGGAACTTCTAATCCCCTACCAGAATAATGGTACAGCCCATATTGCATATTAGGTGATTGATGTAACAATAATTCTGGAATCACGTGACGGCAATATGTATAACCAGAATTTTTAAAAACCTTGTTCTTGTTTCAGGTTGGGTATTACTTCCCGGTGTGGATACATGGAAGGGAATTGCTGAACAGAACCCAAGGACACAATATATATATGGGGGAATCAGAACAAAACAAGTGACCATGAGTGGAGTAATCAAATATTAACCAACACACATCGGTAAAAATAACCACTTGTCCTACATCAATTTAAATTCTTAAATTCCAATGATAATTCTCAAATATAACAAACATTTACTATCGCAATTTTTTCTTCGAAATAAAAAAATATATATACATAAATTTCCACGGGAACGAACGTGTTATCTGTTATACCATAGACCTTATGGTTATACATTCCTTGTGCTGAAACCTATTTCGTGCTTCAAAAAAGGTCAGTAATTGAAAGCGCATGCGCATTCGCGCAGTTAATTATTTTGACAAACGTTTTGTTCCGCGAAAAAAAACAACGCGTTTAATTTACAATACACCAAAAAGAGGTATGTATAACAACATACAATGTCGAACAAACATGCTAAAACATACATGGTATATTTTTTTGAAAAGGTCTTCGTTTGTCCAGCGTCCATCATTCTAGCACGGCGACACTGAAGAGCGGAATGTGCAGCGTTATTTTGCAAAGTTTGGTTGAAAGGGGCTTTTTCTTACGAAAAAAACGATCGCAGTTCAAACATGATAGAGCAGGTAATGAAAAGATATGACGTCACCAAGGTGAGATACCGGTTGACTTTTTCGTCTGAGCTACAATAGGGACGACAGTAGAGTGATGCCACTTCCCGCGTACAAGAACGGTAGCTTGGAGTTTTCAAATAAAATATCAAAAATGAAAAGATACACGAAAGCTTTTAGCGAAATATACGTTTCAAAGAGTATTGAATTTGAGAAATAGTCTTGCAATGCAATGCCTTTCTTTCCTGGTGGCCATTCATGGAAACTATTTTAGGGCAATATCTATATTCATACAAAATAAAACCTCACAACTGCACCGACCGTCCATTTAATCTAAAGCCATGGGAGCCTGCAACAATCCACATGGGTTTCTCAAAAGCAGGTTTCGACCTTCTAATGTCATTCCCGCTGTACTGCTACCCGCCAAAAGCAGCATTTTTGAGTTCCGAGTCGCATCATAGAATGTTCGTACGGACCATTTTAAAGAACGAAGCATGCAGACAAATACACATACAACTTATTTCACGTATTGGCGGGAAATTAATACACACAATAACATTTTTCACTACATTGTCGTCCGCTCGCGGCGGCTCAGACTTTCGATTCAACACCGTAATAGATTTATTTACTAGTACTTAAGATTAGAAACAAGAGGTTATCGTCATTGGCATTGCCGTGCAGCTCGGGTGAATCAGGCTCGATGAAAAATGGAAAATCCGGCACTGAATTAACCTAGAGGCCCATCATATCTATAGAGAGCTAGTTTTTCGCAGAGGTCACTTTCATGGAACCCTTTGTCTGCAAACTTCTTCTCTCAGCAAAACGAAAAGTGGTCTTAATAACGTGACTTTCTCACAACTGATAATCCAGTGTCGTCCGTTTCGTTCCCAATAACTCATTAATTGTAAAAAATGGTGTTCCGTAAACTAGCTAAAAATCTCCCATATAGATCACGGCGTTGTCCCGTAATTGGGTTCATTAGTGATGCGGCGCGTGCCACAACAGTAACTGACAGCTCTTGAAACCCTACTTCAGAGACAATGCACAGATATGAGATTTAATTTCTAAGGCGATCATCTACAGAGTCAGTCGAATAATTTCCCTCCGCACTTTATATCGATTTATCCAAAGAAACGTTTGTATTTTCTTATTTTATGTTTCTTCGATATAGAAACTTGTTCTAACCTTAAAGTTGGTCAGAATTTTCATACAAGAGGAATCACGATGACAGTGTGCTAAAGAAATGCTCATGAATTGCGCATGCGTACTTAACATGTTATAACACTAAAGACGCGCATAGAACGGTATTTGCTCGATTTGTGAAGTTCGGCATGTTATAATTTGGAAAAAAAAGAATCTGAAAGATTCACCCGGGATTCGTCCTCCACTCACAAATTGTTACAAAAATCACAGTCTCTCTATAACTGTGTTGAGATCTTTCATTTTAAGTTGAATGGAATTCTTCGAATAAATAAAATACATTTCATAATAAGTTTATATCGCGGAAGATGCGGGAGAGAATGTAATTTAAAGCTGACCGACAATGGGGTGCTAAAAATGAATGAGTTAAGGACACTTACCTAGATGCTGGCCGACATGGGGGAGGGGTTATATATGAACGAGTTAAGTAGTCAAAGTTGGCCGATGATTGGGGGGCTACAAATAAATAAGGAGTTAAGGTCTCTCACCTCGAAGCTGGCCGACAACTTCCGTTTCTGTTGCTGTATGTGGTATGTGGTTGTGATTGGTAGACTATAATCGATGATGGGCGGTTCATCGAGGATGTGATTATTGTCGTTGGTTGCTATGGGAGACAAGTGCATCCTCTTTTGACACTCATTACAGCTCATTAAAAACCTGGTGACGGCCTCGCGTGGAAGAAAAGCGTAATTTTCAGCAATCTAGGAGAGAGAAAAGAGACGAGCTATCAAGACCGTCGAATAATTTCACCGACCCGTTTGTATAATGAAATTCCTCTCAACGTTTGTGGATAAATACCACCAAGGCCTTTGTTCACGAGCATCCCACTCACAGTGCAGCGATTAGCACAGACTTTCATTAATACTGATCGTAAGCCTCGCAGTTTTAATTTCAAACTCAAATAAAGACGATTTTTATTAGGTTTCGCGACCAAGATTAACTGTAAAATAAAACGAATATAGAATACAGTACACGAAGGCGCCTGTGATTGTCTTGGATAGAGGACCTTACAAACAGCGACCATTGTTCCAAGTAAAATATCTGACGGACAAAAACACGTAATCCCAACGTTTTAATTTAATTGTTGTTACTATATCGCTTGGGATGTACTGAAGTACATAGTATTTTACCGAGACATGCCAATCCATTATACTAGTATATAGGCGTACCGATAAGTGTTATTGACCGTATTCATTTGAAAAAAAGGTGTGGACTGTCACACAGTGAACACAAATGTATTGACAAGGAAATGAACGCAATATGTAAGGTGTGTGTCTTATTGAGTGATGTGAAATTCTCACGTGACACATTGTGATCACGTGATATCAGAAACCAGCGTGACGTTCCGCGTGTTAGTTCTCCATGCTCGGACAGCTCCAATTTGATTTACGACCTCCAACGGATGATACCCCAAGATGGGTGTTGAAATGAGGTGGCGGTGCGATCTGATATAGAAGCGTAACGTTGCAAAACATTCCCCGCGATACTCACAGCTTTGTATGTTCGCTTCTGTCCGGCATGCTTTCCTCCGCGACCGTCCATTTCGACGTGCACATTGTAGATAATATCAAAGAAATTCTCCACCACTGCGACACGCTTGTACCCCTTTTCAATAACAATGGAATCTTCCGTGTGCGACTGCAATAGAACATAAGAAGAAACACACACCTGAGTTAGTAGGGAAGTGAATCAAATACCTCCACCTTAAGGCAGGAAGACTATTTTAATCACACTCATTGTCCGATGAGCCGAAGGCGAGAAATTGTTTGTGTGTGAAAGGGAAATAAGGGTCGTCGTGGTCACCATCGCCATTTTCTTCTTGTACCTTCCTGATAACCGCCGACATGTGTCAAAGGTCGTTTTCCATTTCATTCCATAAATGAATTCCGCCAGCAATCACTCACAAATATTGCGATGATAAACACTCGTAATATATAACAAACTACATTGCACATTATGACAGGCCTGTGTACTATTATTATTAATTTGAGTCGAAATCAGATCGTCGCATATATTGGCGGTGCACCGAAGCAGTGGGAAGTCCCATATTGAAGAGCAAACGATTCACATCAAAGTATTTCAAATATTATTAATCGAACTTTACCAAGATTAAGTTGGTCAAATTCACAGTGCTATTTTGGGGACAATGACACACAGCTGATAAACTGATGTAAATCAAACGGAAGTGTACAAATTCCATTGAAAAGTGAAATTGTGATACGGTTAATTCCGGTAAGCGAGTACTTTTAAGATTTTAGTGTCACGTGACATTTGTCAGTGTAAATCTGCAAATCCACTATTTTGTTTATCTACGTTTGGTCACTCGTCAATTTACTATTGTAATCGAGATTGAATATAATCTGCAAAAGAAAGATCACAAATCGCATATTTTGTTGTGATTGTTTGAAAGTCACAGTTGAGTCGAATCATATATACAAGACAGAATTTGATACGACAAAAAAAAAACCTGTCAACAAACAGGTTCTCTGATTGGCTCGACAGTTAGGTGTTGGGTTTCGGTAGCCAATCAGCGTAAATCTTGTGAGTAGCTTCGCATCGACTCCAGAGTCATGCCCGATACATTTTCAGACAGTGTTTTTGTTCGGTGGTCGGCTAATAACCATGGTAACCGATAAGACGTAGAAGTGGCCGAGTTTGTGTTTCAATTGGCTGACTACAAAATCGATTTCTGAACATCAGCCAATGATATTATCTCGTGTATTTAATATATGCATAACCTGAATATATAATGTATACGTACACCCAACACGACATTGGGGTCATACAGACCAGGAACAGCAACATCTGAAGATAGACGCTAGCGATTGGTTTATTTTATATAATTAAATAGTACACGATGCTGTTCAGACCTAAGTAGTAGTAACCGAATTCGATTAGACGACCCAGTCGGAAATCACTCAATATAGTACGCTCCGTGAAGTCTTTGTTTTCGGGTTAAAACTAAGCGAACAAGTTCATGGTCGAATGCGTTAGCAATAAATGGCGAATCCATATTTGCTTTAGGTAATTTTTAACTGGAACGCATGGCATTTCTTTCCATCCATGCGATTACCGCGGCACTGCGTTTTGAACCCAAAATCTGACACATTCGCATCGAGTGGACATTTACAACGCTGGCACCACAAAGCATTAAATTAAAAGGCTCTGGAAACGACGTGGTGACTGAAGGAGGAAATCGCCATGGGATATTAAGCTCTCGATAGCAATGCATTCAACAAAGTTGACAAGTCTAATTTGCTTTTCCCATCCTCGTACTGTTTATTCTTTTCATTTTCCCGCCATAAAGCGCCCCATATTGCACCGTGCGATATGTGTTCGCAATGATAAAAGAAAATTGGTGGGGAAACGCTGAGGCTCGTTTTATCTTTTACGCTCAATTTGACAATGAATTCAAGCATAATTTGAACTGAAGTGCGCAGTTCTTTCTGGTGTGTACATTGAACGACGGTAGCTCATAACATACTCCGTACATGGAATTCGTTTTCATCGTAATTTTGAAGTCGTTGTTGTGCACAATTTGCAATTCAAATGAGCCATTTTCAGTGTTTCAGGTGAAGGCTGCGTCGGTGTGGAGTGGCTATTTTGCATGCTCCAGACATTACGTGCATGGAGACGGAATTCAGAACAGCCCGTAACAACATTTTGAAAGATTGGTTGGCAATTCTATTAAAGCGAGTGGTTCGGCAAGCATGCCACATACCATAGCGCCCGAAACAAAAAAAACAATATTTCATGCATTCCAATGTACGTAAACGTTTGTGGCAGTACAGTTTTTTGTGAGTAAAAACGTGCACATAATATCGGTTAATTTTCATTTTAAACATTGACTCAAGCGAGTGGATGTGAAATAATTATGACGAACTGACTATACTAGTATTGCACCTTTCTAGCTGTGTCCACACTCCTAACATAATATATAACGGCTGATTTCCCGAGACTCCTTAAAACATGTTAAATCACCGACTCTTTTGCCGGTAGCGTTCACACGGCGTATCCAAGCAGTTGAGAGGGAGATTGATGTTTGTAAACGACCGGACCCCGACTCCAATAGGCCCTTAAAGTGAAATAGTAAGAAAATAGTAATCAAACACAGCCAAAGGGTGAAATTAACTTGCATAACCCGCGTAGAATTCTAGCAAAATTACGGTGCTATGTCACGTGACCGGGACACGGGCAGTGTCATCCACCGGTCGTGATTTCCCGCGATCCTTTGCGCGGCGCGGCAAGTCCAGCGTACTCGGATAGATGCGAGAGCGCTGTGCACACACAGTTACCATGACAATGGCATTAATTTGTGATCATCCATGCGCGCTATATCCCATTAGAACGTACACTGCAGTGAGAATACCAAATGTAGATTGGATTGGGTCAACATTTGTAAATAAGAAATCAACATATTGATGGGTGTGGGAGGGGGGGGCGGCTCAAACATTGTAGAATAACTCATAGACTAACAAGTGTATGAATTCCACGTAGAATGTCGTATATCGCCAGCGTTAGCCGGTTACTATTTAACGTGTTTGTCACGGGTTGACAGACAATCGTACCGGATATCAGTGATTAATAGTAATATACATAATATATTATGCGAAATAAAACACTACTATATTCCAGACAAAAGACAAGTTGCTTGTTTCCTAGGTTAGCGTTGCTCTGGCATAACGTCCAATATTAATTTGACCATGCGCAGACGCGACAAAACTGGTCTCTCCCTGGCTCTATCACACTCGAGTAGAATACCCTGAATGCATGATGACGTCATCACCATCTCCTTCGGTGCTCCACACTGTCGCATAATTGGGTAAACACAGTCGACGGACGTCCCCGATAGAGATATGCTCTACCGGAAAATAGAGCAGCGATAGACAGAAAAATATATAAAATACATTATTTCTCGGGGTATTTTTTGATCTGGATGCATCGAAAAATAACCGTGTAAAAAGGGGAGCAATTACTCGCATGACTTGGTACGTACTTAACGCTACGGGGGTGGAATGATCGGACAGTCTGAATGAAAATAATGGAAAAGAGGGCAATATACTAGAATGAAAGTGACATAAATTCCAAATGATATACACTCTATCGGGTAAATATGAGAAACCTGTTCAGGGCAATTGAATAAAATTAGCGGAGTTCGATAGACAGGGGAGGCTGAATACATATGCATATTGCTACCAGGCAAAGTAGCGAAATGATCGAAAAGACGGGGCATGTAAAACGACTCAATACTCTGATGACGGATGAGGAGTGACAAAGTGTAAATTTGTATATACGCTGTATGTGAATGTCTTTTGCTGATTAATACGTGTATTGGCACGCGTTATTGTTACGCCGATCATTTTTCAATTGATACCAGTCTCATCAAAGCTAAATTGTCCGCTTGGTAAAAGTCATTCTCTTTTTTTCTAACGAGCTGGAAAAATGCAGTCTTGTGGTGTTTTTGCTGTATATTCCGGTCTGCACGCATATGACGGAAACAGCGTCAGTTGCATTCGGGTCCACGCCGTGACAGGAGAAGTGAGCAGATTTCATCAGATTTAGGGACGGAACAATGTGGACAGGCTCGTCAGTGAACAGATTTCATCAGATTTAGGGACGGGACAAAGTGCATAGGTTCGTCGGTGAACAGATTTCATCAGATTTAGGGACGGGACAATGTGCATAGGTTTGTTGGTGAACAAATTTGGTCAGCTTTAGGGACGGGACAATATGAACGGGCTCGTCAGTGAACAGATTTCATCAGATTTAGGGACGGGACAATATGAACGGGTTCGTCAGTGAACAGATTTCATCATATTTAGGGACGGGACAATATGAACGGGTTCGTCAGTGAACAGATTTCATCAGATTTAGGGACGGGACAATGTGCATGGGTTCGTCAGTGAACAGATTTCATCAGTT